AAAATGCAAACTCACCTTGAAAGGTGAAAGATGAAGCACATGGGTCTGATTTTGGGAGAAATGATAGAAGACCACATACACTGGTACGGACTCCATGTATCATGATGGATACAGGGGCCAATGAAGCATGCAACACCCCTTCCAACATGTAATTCTTTGGAGACCATGCTTCACAGAACTGCTATCCAATCACTTTCAGACCTTCCGGGTACAATTGTAAATGTTGAAAGGTACAGCTGAGACGCAGCTCTGTTTACATTAAAATGTCAGAACACCCGCTTTGATTTAATGAGATTTAATATACAAACAAACAATCATACACCAGCAGTCTTCAGTCTAGTGCTATCACACAAAATAAACACTTTGTGCAGACAATGCCCTCAGCACTGACTGAACAGGAGCCGTTTCAGAGACATGACAGAAGCAAGGTTTCCCATGGTGATTGAAAGTCACTTATGCTGCTCCTTGCCTTCATTTTTATGCAGGATATTTATATATTTCCACTTATTCCATTACGTTTAATATCACATAAATGGGCATAATCCTGCATTACCTGAAGCCATGTACCACTTTTGTTAGGACAAACAAATATACAAACATTAAAAAAAACCTGTCCCATTTCTTGAGGTAATCCTTGACTGAATATAAACTGTTTTACAGATGATTCTACAAACTGCCTCTCTCTTCTGTCCCATTCTCTGTATTGACATCCATAGGCCAGACACCACAAGAGCTTGTGTTGGCATTCAAAATAGGCTTAGTCCTTTCTACCTTCGCTCAAATTCCAGCAGCTTACTGCTTGAAAGCATTTGTAAAGCGAGTAGACCAATGATGAATACATGCAAATAATAGCACAACTACCTACACAGAGTGTGCAGTCAACCCCACACAACGGGCTGAACATAAAGCTCTTTGAAATGACACACTCTTGGACTCTAGTTCAAGAACAGCATGTTCCAAGATGGAAGCAACATGTCAGAGAGAAGGACTGAAAAGCCAGTGGCCAAAAGTCATGCAGATCATTGGAGGGAAAAAAATAACTAATTAATAGTTACTGTGTTCAGTTTGGCAAGAATTGGGTAATACACAAATTATTTCTTGCCATTAAAGGTATAAGTTTTCAAAAACGGGAATAAATAGAGGAAAGGATCACAAAGAAAAATATTATGTAAAGTCAGTGTAACCAAATCTAAAGCCTTCTCTGTGACTGTATTTCATTAAACAGAACATAGATTTCAAGACTACTGGCATGCAAACTCAAAGCATGTACATTTGTGCTAAAAGCAGGCAGCCATCCATCGGCCTGGCTTAGGACAAAGCTTAAACCCAGTGATACTACATGCTGCTGAGGTCATTCTGACATTCATTTTCATGAATTCCCTAATGGCCTCCGCTCCAGATTCTGAGCTCTCCAGTGGCTGTGGCAAATTAATGCGTGAGGGCTCTCAGTGTCAGCCCATAAGAAAGAGGCAGCTCCTGTCTAAAAGGCGGTGTGAGTTTCGGGTTTGGGTTTCACCAGGGGGAGACGCAAGGATAGGGAGCACAGAGAGAAGGTTGTTGAGGCTAGTTTTGCTCTGGGGATACAAACAGAAGGAAGGAACTGTTTTCCATACCAGTAACATTGAGCCCTCCCTTCTTTAACTCAACAAGACAGCCTAGTCAGCATTGAACCCATGTGCTGTATAAGACAGTAAATCGCAGTTCTATAGACATATAAAGAAAATGTGCCCAACACTTGCTGACCACTGCTCACTCATGGTATCATAAAACACACACAGGTCATTGTAGGGAACAGAGCAGGTGGCACACAGCAAACCTGCTCTTTCCTGTCAGTCAAGTAGCTCAAGTAGGAGAGGGGGTGTACTGCTACAGCCATGTGTTCCCCCGCAATCCTTAAAAACTCTGTTTCCATCTACTTTACGGCAGCCATTGCCTACATATAAACAGAATCGAGTTGGGTGGGTTGGGGGGTAAACTTGCTCAAACAAGCACCTTAACAGAATGCCCCAGGCACCATGGCAAAATAACAAGAGAAAAGGAACTAGCTGCTGCCTCCTTGTTGACAGTCTATTAACATATTGCAGTGTCAAATATATAGGCCCCTGATATTCCAACTGTAATGGGACATATGAGGAAGGAGGTATTATAAATTGCAGGATATGTATTCCCTAAGTAAGACATGACAACCTTCTTTGAGCAAATTTAACTGAAAAGTCAGCCAAACTTTAAAAAAAAAAAATCAAACTACTAAGAGGTTCAAACTTTCTCAATTAACTTTTTGTTGACCCAGTTGGGACAACCTTCCTTGATTTGGCTTTATTTGGACCAGCCCAGTTCTACCCCCATATTTGAGTAAGCTTTGCTGCCATCCCATCAGCTGTTCTAAGTCCCTCCCTCCTGTGGTTTCCGGCTAGTAACAGGCTACCCAATCATTAAGCTGCTTTCCACAGTGCTGGGACAAAAACAAAACTACTTGTTCATACTGTTCTTCTAGAACATTGTAATGTGCCAGAAATATACTGTCATTGTTGCCCGTTTAAGAGATCCCCATGTCAGCCCTAAGTCATTTTGAACAAATGAATCAGCAGCTCATAAAGGTAGGCAGAACACACTAGATAAAAGTTCAAGCTAAAAGTTCAGGCATTCCATAGTTAAAACAACAGCAGGCTCATGACACCTGCTGTAACACTTAATAAACAGCTGCAATGTTCACTTCCAATTCCAATATTTACAACAACAACAAAAAACTACAACAATCAATAAAATGACACAAGTTAGGCTTCCTTACATGTGCCTGCAGACACTGAAGTACAGTGAGACACACAGATCAGGTGGCCATTTTGATGTGAAATTAACCAGCAGACTAGCCAGCCAGCTCAGCTCAGTAGCATTACAGGGTAACATTTAAGATGCAATAACACAATTAGAAGAAAAAAAATGTCGTATGGTTATAAAGCAGAGCTTAACAAGACCGAGAAGTGCTATTCATGATGCAGCAAGGCCAACATTTAACGAGAGAAGAACAAAGACAGCAGCCTTACGTTATGTAAACAAGCTTCTGTGTCAACGTGTAAAAAGGGGGGCAGTTTGACTTGACTTGTCAACAACCAGCTGGACAAAGAAACCAAATTGCTATAAAATAAAAGGTGTTCATTTTGTCTACTGCTGCCAGGTATCTTGGTGGTTGCAACAAGATGAAAGACATTCCTGGAAAATGATAAAAAACGTCAGCGGCCGTTTCATTAGTTTTCAATACACAGATAATGTAACAAAAACAGAGTTGGAAACATGCTATAAAAAAAAAAAAAGGACATTAGACGAATCTGATTAGCTAATACAGCGACTGGAGGTTCGTAGGACAGAAATAGCTAACACTTGGCTTTGCTAGCAAAATGTTGTTTACACAAAAACATCAGTCAGTCACAATGAGAGCTATTTCTGCTTTTGGGTTAACAAGCCAAAGAAAAGAAAAAAAGAAGCAACACTATACAGTGTCGGCTCATATTACACAGCAATATAAATTATGACATAGCTGGCTAGACAGCGATACAGACTCTTGTTTATGTTCAGAAAGGATACAGTTTCACCACATCGGTATCCATTCGCCTTTTACCCGGACTTGGAGACGACATTTTTTGCTATTTCCACCGCAGAACACCCACTTGGTAAACTGAAAGCTAGCTCCCCGAAACGCTAGACAGTCCTAGCAAACTGTATCATCCGAAAGTTAACATTTGCTTGCGGAAATGTGTCCAGCAAATTGTCTTCACAGGTCAATGTCTCCCTGTCCTAAATGAGTAGCTGAGCTAGCGTTAGACCTCTGCTGTTCACTGCCTCTCAAGCGTTCTGACCATGGTTCTGACAAGCTAGAATCACTCCGCGGACGACGTCATAATATGCGCGACCGATACGTCACATTAAATGGCAGTTTGTAGTTTTAGCTACAATTTCACGTTTAAGTGCAAATTGACACCACGTATACATGTATTTTTAGTTTAGGGATTTGAAATGGGTAGATTATTGATACATAGAAGTTACTCTATAGTTGAACAATTCTACAGGGTTGGGCAATTCAGTTTTATGTCATAGTTTTGCCTTTCTTCCACACTCAAGAACTGACACACCCAAAAGCTGGACTCCAGAATGTATACCACAAAATGTCTGGCAACAATCTTTTCAAAGAAGAGCATTTTCAAAAAGATATTGTGTACCTTTCGCTGCAAACTTTTCCTTTAAAGTTTATTTGGCTAAATCAGGGTGAGCAACTTTGGTCACAGCAAGGGGCCACATTCATTTAATTCTCACTGCCAGGGGGCCAAATTGTAGGATACAAAAACGATTACAGTCAATAATGTCTCAAATTTAACTCAACATATACCAGTGATTAAATATTATTGTGGACATATTTCTGGTTTTCATGATTTCATGGCAGATTTTGTCATGTTTCCAATGAATTGACATGTCAAAATTGACCCGAGGGCCACATTGAGGGTTGATGGGGGCCGCCAGTTGCCCACGCCTGGGCTAAATTATGGTTTATAGCTATAGTCATATCTATTGTGAGGTTGAAATTATACAGGCTACATAACCAAGAAACTGCTTTAAAAAGGGGCCACCAAAGCTTACAATTACAGCATTACAATTACTCCAAGGACAGCCTCATATCTGCTTTGATAACAGCAAATTAATTTTAAATACAGTTGACATATACCTGTTATTTGTACAGAACAGAGAGTACAGTGGAATTAACTGTGTGGCATTTACTCTTTTAAACAAATAAGTTAAGATATTTAAGGCAACAAAATTGCCACCAACGGGTAAGTACTGAAAGGAAACATCCTGCAGTAAATGGAAGAAACAAGTTTTGGAATCAAGAACACATCCCTGTGAAATAAACAAGAAACTTTCAAAGGTCAGTCACTGTGTACATCCGACCAAAATATTAGAGATGCCTCTTTCCAACTGTTATCCAGAGGAATGACTTACAAAGTGAAACAAACTTTGAGAAGAGCATTTTATTAAACCCTTAGTAAAATTCTACTTAGATATAAGCACATGCAAGAGAGAGAAGACTGCATTACCGAAGAAATATCAGAGAAAGGCAAAAAGCACAGACATTCTGAATCTAGTTTAAAACAGGTTTTAGTTCATGGCACGTTACCCCCTGCCTGTGAGAAATAGGATTTTAGCGCGGACTATAAGAAAACAAACATTTCAATACTCCAAAAGGATTCTGTTCTTTTCAAAGAGAATCCGTAACAGTACACAAAAATAACTTCCTCACAGCTTTTTTTTTTTTCTTATCTCAGGTTAATGTTTACTCAAATGACTCAATGTACATAGAAGGTAAACATCACCTTTCCAGTGTCAAGCCATTTGGCCCTGTCTCACAATCTGGGATTTGTACTTCCTAATAATCCACAGAAATCCACACTATCATGATGTGATGGAGGACTATCGACACAGACTTCATGAGAGGTTAACAGAAGAGGCCTTCTTTGTGGCCAATTAAATGCCAAGATATGTTAAAATCACTTGATGACCACTAACGTGTACACATAATATAAGGCCTGTTCAGCCCCGCAGTGTCTGCACATCCCAGTTTGAAATGGTTTAAAACCTCACAGGCATCCTTCATGAACTTCAATGTTTACAGAGAAGTCATTAAAAGACAATCAACTTCTGTTCCCACCAGAAAAGCTCTGACTGTAAACACGACTTTAATGGATGGCATACAATGATATGACAATCCTGTCATTGGTACTATAGACTCTGTACCACAAGAAGAGGGCCTGTCAGTTATTTGTTTCAGTGTTCCAGTGCTGCATGGATGGAATACAGTCTACTGAGATGCAGGGGTGGATACCTGCCACTGACGGAATATGGCAAACACCCTTTTAGACCTGTCACGAGGGCCCTGGAAGAAAAGAGAGCACACAAAATTACAGAAATTCTCAAAATAAGAGCTAAATATCCAATAGTTAACCATATGAATTTAGGACTTAGCATAGGCTCTGCTAGCATAATTGCTATGCATTATTTTTGTTGTAAAATTCAGAGTTCTTGACTTGCCCCTGCTGGACTCCCTCCTGATATATTAGAGTTCCTTTTCATTGGCACGAGGAGGTTGAGAGCAGCCTTCCAGCCCTGCTGGTGAAGCCCAGCTCCTCCATCCAAAAAGGGGACTGACCCTGGATCCACGTTCTCCTTTCCCACAGAGACCCAGGGACACCAGTCTCTGTGCTGAGAGAGGGGGTCAAAAGCATTCTTTTGCAGGAGCCAATCCTGAAACAGAGAAAAAGTCAAAAAGCTCTTTATAATATCATATGAAAGTGGGATAAAGATCAAAGATTAGAGGCAGAGTTGTAACTAATATTGGATAAATGATTAATTAAAAATGTAATTTTCACTCATGATACTTGGGAAGTGATTTGATGATGTTTAAAATTCATCACTGCCATTTGTTAAAGCTACTCAAATAGACATGAGTAGAACTAACTCTAGTTGCCCTCGTTAAAGTAAATATTGCTAAATCTGTCAAGCGAAAATGAGAATGTACAGGTAAGAATTAAAACTGTGATTCTAATATAAAGCAATGTGTACCCCTTTCTTGAAGGAAGCGGTCATAGCATTGATATAGTTCTATAAACAACGTTCTCATAGGCAGGCATCCCTGTACAAAAAGTCAAATATACACAAACTTCTACTTCATAATAAATCTGCAAAACACAAGATGTGAAAACAGTAGGATTGTTAGTTCTTACAGTAGCAGCAACTGATGAAAAGCACAGCCGTTTAGGAGGGTTTTGCAGGCTGGAAGCACCTTCAGCCCCGGAGTTGTCCCCTTGGCCTTTACTGCGTGCCGCTGGCCTTTTAGCCCTTGGCAAAGGACTCGGCATTTCTTCAATGGGACTTGGCGAGTCTCTGCTCCGGGAACGCAAACCTACAGGAGAGGAAGTTCCCTCACCCTGTAACACGAAGGATTACCGGTGAAAAGAAGCCTGGCACATCATAAATTTAACATACTATTTATATATAGAGTAAGACAAGTCTGAGTAAAGTGCAAAGCTTGCCTGTTCAGAGCGGGAGGTGTCCTGACTCCTCAGCTTCATGCGAGAAGGAGTTGTAGCAGGGGTGGACGAGGCGGAAGCAGGCGGGTCCCCCTGGCCCTCGTGTGAACCTGCTGAGGCTGCAACTGTTGTCTGAGCAGACGGGCCGCCAGTGTTTGATGAGGCATCTCCATCTCCATCTCCTACTCCTGCCATTCCCTCCATCTGGTAGAAGTTCCACAAGCCCACCTTGCGCATACAGTACGAACAGGTGAGGATGGGTAGGTTCATGGCCTTCAGAGCTGGGCTAAAAAAAAAAAAAAGAAGCAGAAATCCATGGTGTAAACATCCTAACGAGATAAAGAAGTGCTGAAATTGTGCATATTTAAGTTTCAAAGGAAAAAACATTTTGTCTTAAATATGCAACTTAAATACTTGTAGCGATTGATCAAGGACAGTAGAAGAGGATTTTGATCTCACCTTGCAGCCCAGCCACACAGAGAAACAATACATGCAGCCACCTGGACAGCCAAAGGTTCGGTACTTAGAGTTTGTCCCTTTTTTTTCTGTTCCTCTTCTATGAGCTGCAGTATAACACTGACAACATCCTCAGTCAGTGCCTGCAAGGAAAAAAGTGGATGATAAATACATGTGAAGAAACTAGAATTCCTTGTTTATTGTCTACATTTAAACTGTGATCCGGCTATCCATTTAACTATTGGAAAGGTCCTTCAAGGCCCGAACAATGTACATAAGGTTTCAGAAAGCATTTTAGTCCGAACACAAGAAATGCTTCTGCTGCCTCACCATAGACTTCAGATGCTCCGGCTTCATGGCCGGCAGCTGATGTGCAAGCAGGCAGGCGCTCTGGAAGCGCTCTAAGAAGTCAGTGAGAAGTGCTGGGGGTTCACAGGCTGGAACCAGCCAGAAACGCTCTGAAATGACATCAGCATTTACCTTGAACATCATATTGATAACTCAGTGTCAATACAGATGAAACAACATGGTTCTATTAGGTATCACTATTGTTAATACATGCATTAGAACAGATGTTTGTTTCTACCTGGGCATGGAAAGTCAGGCCACGGGCAAAACTTCTCATGCTGCGTCTGAAGCTGCCCCAATAGCTCTGCAATGCGGGATTCATCTAATAAAGAAAAAGGTAGGGTTGCGTGACCTTTATTTCTTGGCAGAGTGACAACATCAGTGTAACCTTGCCAAAGAACAGGTAGCGTCAGTTCTGACATTTTCTTCTGCTGCTGCTGTAAGTTTTACTCACATTTTTCTATGTCCAAAGTTGGTTGTAATGATGCACAGAGGAAAGCCTGGCAGCTGGAGCATTTGAGCATATCACAGCCGACGTTGATCCAGCCATATCTGGAGCAAACCAAGGGGGACAGTGTGCGAGGTTTGCCTGCCCATTTCAAACAGTGCTACGCTAAGGAGAATTTCACTCAGACACACGACAAGTCTTCAACATAAACATCATACATTCTCTGAATTAAAGTTAATAAATAAGCATTTCCCATAAGGGTTGATTACGTTTACTCATACACTCATTAAATATTATAAAGAAACAATTTGTTAATCATGACATATTCTGTTGCTGCTACTCAAAATCCTCTCTAACATCAACAGGCAATTTTCGGTCAAAGGTCACAATGGAGGAAAGGATATTGAATAAGATTCCACTCTTGAGAAGAAGGCATCTTTGTTTGTTGCCTCACAAGATGCTCGGGTGTCACTTTTTGCTTCCAGACCTTTCAAATCCCCTTGTCCACTGAAATCCACACAAAAGGGAGAAAAAAAAAACCCACACACACCTTGATAATTAACTAAATGATAAAACGACGAAGATGACAACATATACGTGCATAATATATTTTAAAATCACAACAAGGTTAAACAGACGGACGGGGAAAATAAGTGCAAATCTGGAACACACAGTTCTGCCACATTTCACCTGGACAGAGGTTGCGTAACAGTGGGGGAAAAAAAAGAGAAAAGGATGCTACTTCAATTTTCCTTTCTACGTCTTTAGAGGTAGATTAGATAACGCACACATGCATGGTGTATAATCCAATTATAAAGAACTCATTTGGCATCGATGGCTAGCAGAAACTGAACAAAAGTCCAATATCAATGGAGAACTGTTGCAGTATCACGTTACAGTAAAACTTTCGGTCCCCACCCCCTTATCTGTAAGTGTGCACGACTGTGATAGCACGACTGGCTACCACACACACCTGTCGGTACATTTCAGAGATAATAAGTGCAATCAATAGCAATTGTTTACAAACTACCATCCAGGGGAAAACAAGATTTAAAATCAGTTTCTGTTCAAATTAATCTGAGCGGAAGGCGGTTAAAGCATGGGCTCAAGTAACAGAGCTGCAAGGCTAAGTGGCTAACCCGACTAGCTCATGTTCACTTCTTCTTCGGCACCCTTTAATTCAAACAGGTTGGCGCGCTATTGTTTTAAAAGTGCACCTGATGGATCCGACGGCTGGTGACGACACTCCGTCATTTAGAAGTTCACGAACTTTCTCTGGAGACACAAGGGCAGACCTTTGTTGATTGGAGTTGCCGAGACGATCCCCACGACTGCCGCCGAGAGTCGCCATGATCGGCTCTGAGGTCCCCCTGGAAAAACGAACCCTGAAACGAATAGTTCCGCTTTCAGAAAATCGAAACCACAACAAAGTAATGCGCTGAAAACCCCCAGGATGAAGATAATAATATTCTTATTTTCTTCTGATTAGATAGAAAACGTAATTTATGGTTATATGATTGTGATGTTTGGAAGCAGGGAAGTAAAATAACTTTTTTTTTTTTTTTTTTTTTTACAGAGGTGGTTATATGTTTGAAACAGTTGTGGTACCATAATGTTTAGAAACCCTCTCACAGACTCATAATTCCCACATTACCTGCAATATAACTGCATATTTTCTAAAAAAATAAAAATAAAATAAAAAAAATGGAAGAAGTAGAAGAGGAGAATTGTCGCCACTATGCATGCAAGTCCTATCAATGACCTCATGGAGCAGTCTCAATTGTTGCTCTCTTTAAACAACTACAGTCCTAATTTAAACTGCTGAAATTCTACATTTTTTGGGGGGCAATGTGGCAATAGAACTGCGGGAGAATATGTGGGTGTAATATTATCAAATCAGTGAATTCAATAATAATAAACAACACCTACAACAACTTCTGACGCTGCATGTGGCCCCCAGTGGGTTTTGCAGGCCCACCTATCTAATTTGATAACTTCACCTTGTTGTTGGTCACACACAGCCACTGCCTACATAAAGTATTAGTTTCGTCTGAACCATACAGTTTATGGAGGAAACACTTTCAATTCACCAACCCACCTTTAAATAGTGCCCTCTACAATCCTGTAGAGGGCACTATTTAGTCATCTGAACAGTCATCTTGATTTTTTTTAAATAAAATAAAGATGTGTTTAAATTCTAAGGTTGCATAACTCTAAAATCATACATGGTTTTAGGCTGGTTATAATGTAATACTATGTTTATAAGGCATGACAATAAAATAATGACATGTTTAGGGTTATCCTCTTGCAAGCAGAGAACTGTCATCATGATAATATCTGTCTCTCCTTTACTGTAATCTGTTCTGCACATGTTCAATTTACAAATTATCCCTGCACTCATGCTCACTTCATTTGGCTGTCTACTCGCCGTTATATTGTATAGTTTCTGCTTATAATATGTCTACACTCATGCACTTTAACTTATGTCCATACTGTCCATTTACAACTCTGTTTTTGCACATTTACATTTAATCTTTCATATTTAATTTACAACCATTTACAACTCTGTTTTTGCACATTTACATTTAATTCATATTTAATCTTCCTATTTAAGATTAGTAATGCTTAGTTAAATCCTGGTTGTATATATTCACATTCTTAGTTTTGATATTTTTAGTACTTATTTACTTTGTATTTATGTTTAGATTCGCAAACATTGTGGGGTTGCTGTAACACCACAATTTCCCAGTTTGGGATCAATAAAGTAATTCTATTCTATTCTATTATAGGCCTTAGAGTTTTGTTAGTGGTCATACTTTTACAGACTTGCTTTTATTTGATGTCGTCTTCTTAATGTCTTTTCTTACTGGTTTTACTATTTTTTATCTTCTTTTGCTTCTTACTGTTCTTTTATTTATGCTCTTATCTCATATTTATGCTCATATCTTAACTCCTCTTGTGTTTTAACTTGGTAATTTCTTATCTTACTTACTTTGTCTATTTATGTTTCATATTTATATTTACTTTTTATTTTTATTAATATTATAGTTTTGGGTTTTTTGATCATTTAACCACTTTTTCTATTTCTTTTCTGCTCTTACCTTCTTATTGCTGTTATCTTTTTATTTATTTTTTTCAGCTCTTTTAGTTTCTTACATCTTTTTTAAATCTTTGGTCCTCTTGGTCTCAGCTCTTGTTGTTGGGTTCTTGTGTTGCCTGGGTTCTTATCATGGTTCTTGTGATGGTCGGGTTATATATGTCTGTTGGGTATCGTGCACTTTGGGTTCTTTTCTGTTGAATTGTATTTAATTATTTTTAGTATTTTGCATTTGTTATTCTTACTGTTATTAATGTTCTTCTGTGTTTGCTTTAGTTTGCTTTTTTCTTGTTTTTGCTGTTTGTCAAAGCACTTTGTAAACCTGTGTTTTTAAAAGGTGCTATATAAATAAAGTTATGATTATTATGATTATTATGATTATTATGATTATTATTATTATTATTATATTCCTTAATTTCTGAAGAGGCCTGGGTTTTGTTAATACTGTAAAGTATGAAACATTACAGTTATTTTTTTTACTTCAAGTCAAATTTCCACCTGCTCACCGGAAATCACTTCCAGGAATATAATATTTTGTTTTGGAGAGACGCGCTCCGTCCCGCCCATCTCCGGTGACGTCACATCCTGATAACAAAACGAGCCCTCTGATTGGTCAAGGGGCTCTCGGCCGGGGGCTAAAAATGTGAAGCGCTTCCAAAGTGACTGGAATTTGTTATAATTTATGATTATTTTAACCAGCACAGTCACAGATGTTGTTTTTATTTGATGTGTCATTGTGGAGGACCGGATTGTAAACGATGTCTGACGCTGGAGGGGCTCGTAGTTCAGAGCAGCTGAACAAATTCGAGAAACTGAGAGGCAGGCCGCCGCATACTGAGACGTTAGCAGGTCAGTCAACAACATTAGCAAGACATGCTAACTGCAGGTTTTTACCTCAGTATTGGCACAACTTGTCTTTCACATGCACCTTTCACGACTACTTCAGTGTCATTATGTACATCTTACACATTTGAATGTTGCCCTTACTTGTGACATTGCTCAGCATAACGACCAAGCTATAGCACCATCCATTAATTCTGCGTGTTCCTCTTTTAATAAGAAATCAGACCCAAGATACACAAGATAATGTGTATTGCAAAAGTATATTAATCCTGTTTGCACCTTAAAGTATTTTACTAGTAAAGCCAACACAGAGTATGATCTGCCCATAATGACCTATGGCTTTGCTGAATTGCATAAATCTTAGTTCTCTTTGTATTTTAAGACATCATGGCTGCAAACTAAGTCATTTTCTTGCAAGGTTTAGATTGTAGGCTTTGTCTTCATCATTACTTTGGGTAGTTTAAGGGCCATCAGGTGTGCAAAAACAAATGAGGATTAACATTAATTGTTAGCATGAGAGAGGAGTGCATTTTTTAAATCCAACCAAAGTTTTACTACAAATGATTTTGCCTTAAACTTATCAACTATATTTTGTCTGTTACCTCTCCACTCATAATAATAATAATAATAATAATAATAATAATAATAATAAAGTTTATTTATGTTGCAGTTTTTGCAGACAAAGGTCACAAAGTGCTTTACATCAATAAAAAACACAATGAAAGAAGAAAAATGAGTACGTCATGGACAACATTATAAAATCCTGCTATAACCAGGAACAATAAAACATAGATGAGTAGGTTCACCGGGTGGACCTGATTACCCATAGGCCTGTCTAAACGTTAACTTTTTTTAAAAGACTCAACAGAGTCAGAAAGACGTAGCGAGACGGTTGGAGAATTCCAGAGGATTGGTGCTATGGACTGAAACGCACGATCACCACCAGTCTTGAGATGTGTCTGCGGGACAGACAGCGGGGTGTAGGGTGTTTGACCTTTAGTGAACGGGTGGGTGAATACGGGTGAATGAGTTCTGACAGATAATCTGGGGCCTGACCGTGAATGGCTCTGAAGGTGAGAATGAGAATTTTAAACGTAATCCTATATGCCACAGGGAGCCAGTGCAGTGTTTTCAGTATCGGAGTGATGAGAGACCGTTTGTTTGACCTGGTGAGTAATCGAGCAGCAGCGTTCTGGATCGACTGGAGACGGTTTGGGGCGGACGTGCTAAGTGAGGTGAAAAGAGCGTTACAATAATCGATACGAGACAAAGGCGTGCAAAATCCTCTCAAGTTCTGTGAAAGACGCTAATGTTCTCAGCTTACTGATATTTCTTAAGTGGAAAAAAAAAAAGCATGATTTGGTTCGCTGTTTAACGTGGCTGTGTAGTGATAAAGAAGAATTGAAAATGACTCTCAGATTACGGAGGTTGGAGCGAACAGCAGAGGAGAGAGGGGCTCGTGTGGTGAAACCTTTGTTCTTCCCTCTCTAGGGCTTCGTACTCCCCCAGCTCGTAGTGGGCATCGGTGTGTGGCTGACAACACTAACCTGTATGTGTTCGGAGGGTACAACCCTGACTACGATGAATCCGGAGGCCCTGAGAATGAAGACTATCCGCTGTTCAGGGAGCTGTGGAGGTACCACTTTGCAACAGGCTGCTGGCAGCAGATTCGCACAGAGGGCTACATGCCCACAGAGCTGGCGTCTATGTCAGGTAATACTTACTCTTGTTGTTTCTCTCACAAGAATGTGGATGGAAATTGAGTTCGGTGTTTCTGTCTTTCTCCAGCTGTTTTGCACGGTAACAACCTCCTGGTGTTTGCCGGCACTGGGATCCCCTTTGGTGAAAACAATGGCAACGATGTACATGTTTGTAATGTGAAGTACAAGCGCTGGTCACTGCTCAACTGCAGAGGGAAGAAGCCCAACCGAATCTATGGACAAGTAAACCTCACAAATTGTCCTTTTAGAATATTTGATTTTATTGCTTTTAGCCAAATTCAATCTATTGATTTGAAAAAATAGTAGTGACTTAAGTTTTCTGTCTTTCCACAGGCAATGGTTATTATAAACGGCTTCCTGTACGTATTTGGAGGGACGACGGGATACATCTACAGCACAGACCTTCACAGGCTGGATCTGACCACCAGGGAGTGGATCCACCTCAAACCTAACAACCCTCCTGACGACCTGCCTGAGGAACGGTATGTCTTTTTGTACCTGAATGTGCTTCAGGTTTAAACTAAGCTAGGGATCCTTTCAGTGGTGTAAACACTGACATTGCATGGTTTCATGTATGTGACAGGTACAGGCATGAAATAGCACATGACAGACAGAGGATCTACATTCTGGGAGGAGGAACTTCCTGGACATCTTACCCTCTGGACAAGGTACTACACCAGCTACAACACTTGAGGTTATAAATGTATTTTTTAAAATGAAAGCCAAAGCAGGATCTGGTCTATAAATCAACTTTTACATCATTAGCATGTCTGTTAGTTTGCAGTAAAGACACATACCCACATACACACAGCATTATGCAATAAATTCTCAAATTAAAAGGTGACTACTATGGCGGTGGCATGTGAATGTTTGGGAATAGTACTGTTGGGCACTTTGTTTAGCGTCCTCTGCCATTAGTGTGTGAATGGATGATTGTGACATGTAGTGTAGTAACGCTTGTCATGTTTGGAAGAAGAGTTATACAAGTCCAAGTCCATTTACTATTCAGTTATCAAACATCATCATCTGCTTATAATATTGTACCAATACAAGGGTCTTACAGATGTACATGCAGTCTGTGTCTGAAAACAAATATGTAAGACTTTTATTTTGTAAACAAGCCAAATCCATGTTAACCACTGCATTAAACCCTCACTTAGGCTATTGTGTCTTTTTAATAGATACATGCTTACAATCTGGAGACCAATTCCTGGGAGGAGATAACAACAAAACCTCATGACAAAATAGGTCTGTTGTCTGCGCCCCATCCTAACTTAAGTCCTTTTCTCTCATATACACCATTCTGAATTGTCTGCTCTTCCCACAGGGTACCCTGCTCCTAGGAGGTGCCATAGTTGTGTACAAATAAAAGAGTGGTGAGTTTTTTTTTTTCCAATTAACAGATTCACTTGAATAAAAACGTACCAAGTCTTTTAATGTGCTTCAAAGAGTCACAGGTGTTCCTTCAGATGTCACAGCCTCATGTGTGAAACCTTGTGTACTAGGTGGACTTGATGCATGAACAGAATTTGATGATGCACATTTCTGTGTTGCAGATGTATTTATCTGCGGAGGATACAACGGGGAACTTATATTAGCTGATCTGTGGAAGATCAACCTGCAGACTTTTCAGTGGAACAAACTACCAGCTGTGATGCCTGAGCCGGCCTACTTCCACTGTGCTGCTGTCACTCCAGTAAGTAAGGCTCTGACCTTCATAGTTATCCTATAAACATGTAGAAGAAAAAGAGAAAAAATACCTCTGGAATTGTTGGTAAGTTTATATTCTATATGACAGCAAAACCAGCAGTCTGATTTAGAAACTATCATTTTCCCTTTCCAGATCTCTCAGATTTTTTTTGTATGTATATATTTTTTTGAGATTTCAGATTCTAACTTGGGCAGCCCACTTCATGGACTGCAGCCTCTGTACATGGGGCACACAAACTAAACACCCGGCCACCTATTTAGAAAATACTATGTCAGTCACAGTGTCCCACAAATCATCAATGATCGCCTGTTAGGACGCTTTGAACCACATGCACAAATTAATTTCTGTAGTAAAGTTGATAATTATTCTCATCACTCTGTCTCCAGGCTGGCTGCATGTACATTCATGGTGGCGTAGTGAACATCCATGAGAACAAGAGGACTGGCTCTCTCTTTAAGATCTGGCTGGATGTGCCAAGCCTGCTGGAACTGTGCTGGGAGAAGCTCCTAAAGGCCTTTCCCCACCTGATCTCACTCCCCACCATGCAGCTGCTCAACCTGGGCCTCACACAGGAACTCATTGAACGCTTGAAATAGGCTCCAGGGGAGGAGGAAGGACTAACAAATGAATGGATGGGACTGACCAGGCTGGACTGGAAGGCGATGACAGAGCACAGAATTTAATTCACAGGAAAAATTCTCTGGAAAATTCCCTCTCCCTCCCCTGCCTAACGTAGCCCCGCCTTAAAACAATGGGATGCCTTTAAGTTTGCTCTTATTTTTTTTTTTTGCAGTTTCAGTGATGATAGAGAAAATAAATGTGGAATGTTTTATGGATTTTACTTCACTCCTCCCACTGTTCCTTACATGATGCCTTTATGTCAAACTAAATCCACAGTCCTGCTTCTCATCCTCCAAACTCTGGCAGCTGGAAGTACTTTGTTGCCATGTCATGTTTTCAAAGACTACCCTCTCTCAATTGAAATTGAAGAATTCTGTGCAAAAGAAGAATGCATGTGTATTTATTTATAGGACTTCATCATTTTTCTAGGGGGGGGCTTAAATCATCTGATATTGCTGTTTGCACACTTTGTCTTTCATATTTGTGAACATTCACATTTATTTTAATAGATACTTTGAGCAAAATAATATTTTCAGTCTTAAAAATGTCAGACAGTGGTTTTGCACATTTTAGCCAATCCGTTTAAAATCAAATTAAATCTCTAAAAAAAACTTCCAGGAGCTTTAACTTGTTTGAGTTATGAAGTCATTACACTGTCGTGTTTTTTATGGTTGAAACTGTTTTCTTCTTTCATAACTTTGACATTACCCATCCTTAAAGTCGTAGAGTTGTTTTAGACTGTGATTGGAATAGGAAAAACAAAAGAATGGTATGCCTTGAAAATGGCCTCGAGGGATGTTTTTGCTAAACGAGCTAAAATGTGCAGAAACACAGTCTGTGCTTCAGTAGTGTGTGAAGAAAAGGTTCAACGCTGGTTTTGCAGGATGTTTGAGAACTTGTTTGTTCCCTTGTATAATATGATCAAGCATCTTTTCTTCAAAAGGAAGGTGGGTTCTTATCAAATGATTTTAATCTCCATCATGTTTGCAGCTCTCATTTCTTAACCAAAACCATGCAACTCATCACTGTGAATTTGGTGCTCTTTAAAATTAATTTAAAAATGCTTTTATTCGAATAAAGACTTCATTCTGTTCAGCCTTTCAATCCCTCTCTGTTGGTGACATCAGGTTTTCCTTTCTTTCCCCTCACAGGGATTTGCTGTAGTAGCAGAGTATTAAACATTTGTTTATAATGCAGTGCCTTTTTCAAACTTTTAGCAAAGTTTGAATTTAATAAAATTTGAGGCAGTACAAAATTCTTTTTGCTGACAATTGTGTTTACAAGTGAACTAATTTTTTTCTGTTGCCATTTTCAACACCATCACATACAATCACCAAACATCAGGGTGGCAGATACATGTCTCCTGTTTCTATGATTCAGAAGTATTTTGTTTCTCTGACCAGCCTCGTCACTTCAGTTAATCCACTTCATTTATCCTGAATGCACTTTTTTTTTTTTCTCAAGTACACAGATCCTTTGTTTCAGTCAATGGAACTGATGCCAAATAATGTTTCATTTTTGAGCAAGGTGTGAGGATATGGAATAAAAGCTGGTTTGATCCATGAGCACATCTTGCCCTTTTATTTCTGTAATGTACAAACAGAAATGTACCTAGTGCATGATGTCATTTCCTGCTATTTATGTTTTCAAACCTTTACAGTGGGACATGGTTTTAAAGGTGGCCAATACAATGTTGTGCAGTAGGCTTGTGTGAATGTTGTGTTGATGCACTTTCAATAAAAGCTATCTAAACATTTTTTTTGTCCCAAATGTCCTTCGCTTGGCTAATAACGAGCATGACAAATACTGTATTTTCAATTTTAAGGCCATTTTGTTGCCACTTGACTCCTGAGAATGCAGACTACAAGATGATTACATGCATGTCATTCGTCCTCTTATTTAAATGTGTGAATATCCAAAAGTAATACATTTCATCTTTATCACAAATCAAAATGTAAAAATCTACCCAGAATTTAAATATATACGGTATATATTTTGGCTTTCCTTATGCCCCTATTTATAGACAGGACACTGGACAGAGTCCGGCATCATGCAGAGTGGGGAACGACATGCGGGACAGGAGCCTACGGTCAGATCCAAACATAGGCCACCCACCAACCACTAGGCCACCGGCGCCCCACAGAATTAAAATCTTACATGAATCTTAGTGGTGTACATTCTGGTGAAGCACTGGTTAAAAATGGTTCTAATTGACAGCCATGTTTTATAAATCAATGCATTTATTATTTCCAATATAAATCGGATATTACATACAAAATTACATTCAACAAAGGGAACATGAGCGTTCGTTGTTTTTGACAGCTACAACAACCAGGATGTTCAATTACCAAAAAATAACACAGAGTAACATATATTTACAGATATAGTTTTTTTAAGGCTCCACTGTTATTTTTTTTCCAACCTCAGTCCAATCTTTTTCCATCTTCTGTCCCACTGAACCCACACAAATACTTTTTTTTTATTTTTATTAGTGGCATTTTATTCTGAAGCCTCTGAGAATTTCTTGGCAGGCAGATCAACAAGAGCGAGGAGTTGGAGCGAAGAAGTAAAGAGCCAACAGGATGAGATATACCACCACTAGAGCAGTGCCTGCAAAGCCAAACAGTTGATCATTAGCTGCATGTCAAGCCTTAGATATGACTACATGTGGGATTTTCTTCTGCTAGACATAACTTCTGTTATTTGAATCCATGTTTGCGTCTTGAAAACTTACCCTGAAAGTAGTCACATTTTCCATCCATGAAAATGTAATTCACCAGGATGACACTGAAGATGCTCGCCCAGAGGTGAATGTCATTGAACACAAGCAGGAATCCAACATCCTGGGGAAACAATTCAAACCCAGTCAACATTCTAGTGATTGCATGATGCAAAAGATCTTTAAAACACTAAAAAAAAAAAAAAAATGTGGCTCTTACATAGAAAGCATTGAAGAGTATGAGCAGGGGGATCTGGATCATGCAGACCTGCACAGCAATGCAACTCCCAACTTCAAGGCTATGGACCAAAGAAGTACAATGTTTATAAAATACTTACTTATGAGCTGTTCTATTACACATTGATAACAACATGTGGGAATTTGTTTTATTAAGACTAATCCTCAATACCTCAAGCTTATGTTGTTCTGTAATGCAAACTGGATCCCATTGACAATCTCAGGAAGCTCTGGCACCATGGCCAGCACTGTCACCCCAATGAAGTACTGCAGGAGGAATTGTGGTGTCAAATTAACAACAGAAACATTACATAGTCAAGCTTGAAAAACTTAATCCTTAATTCCTTTTTCATACTGTGAGTTTCAAAGCAAAAGAATGAAAAATGAAACTTAGGATATAAGAGGATTTTTCCCGTCCTCCTTAAAAAAAAAGACAGCAATTTAAATACTTGAGAGACGGTTGACTGCATCAGCATGGGTTCGATGTTCTGAGTGCAGAGGTCAGCGCAGGCGGCCATCAAAATTGTGGCAACAATCAGCACAGCGAGCGCTCTCCAGCGGGACCAGTGGACTACATGATGACCTGCTGATGACAAATACACTATAAGAACATACGTTTCAAGATTTATGACTTACCTCAGTGATTGAGGATGTTTTTCTCCTCTTTCACATGCACCAACAAATGTGTCCTTCACCCTCACATGCTGAGGAGTGTTGGCATGCACTGCAAGGGGGAAGCTTTCCTTACATGCACAACCAGGTTAATAAAGCAGGCAGGGGGTTTCAAGATTTAAACTTCATTTCACCCATGAGATTAAAAAAAAAACACGACACGCACACCACAACCAACCACACACCTGTTGCAACCACCTGGCTGTTGGCAACAACGCTGGAATTAATGCAAGAGTTGTCTGCCAGGAGATGGCCAGTAGGGACCTCACCAGTGGGGTGGTAGGTGTTGACGCCCTCTTGTGTGTACTGACCGTGTGCATGGCCCCCTTGACCATCACTGATATGGATGTCATAGATGTGGGAATGTGTCTTCAGAGTGAAGATGAGGCCAATCAGGTATGCAGCAGGCAACAGCAAGGAAATAGTGTACACCAGGGGCCTAGAAAACATTGTTTGTACTCAATCATTAGTTAGAAAAGTCAATAAATGAATTTGAAGAGATGGTGAAATCTGTGCGCAGCATCAGGACTTACTCAATTTGAGACAGAATCAAATGCGGGTCAGTTTGACTCTGATGAACACAGAAAGGGGGGAAATTAGATTCAACCTTATTTTTTAAAAATATTTTTATATTAAATTCCTGTTGACCCATAAAGATCTTAACGACAGGAGGGATTATAACATGGCAGGACTGGAATTAAAAAGCATTCTTGTATAACTGCGATGAACATATGGATATAGAGGTAAGGGAACAAAGCCTACCATGTCATAATGACAATCTTTGCAGACGAAGGGTACACTGCCATTTCCTGGAATATTGGTACAGCTTTCACACACCAGATTACCGAAAATCTTTGAGAAGAGTGTAGGAGCAAACACACCTATGGAAGATATTGAAACATAAGGATCAGTTAAAGACTTTTTAAATCTTTTTGTTCACCACAAATAGTTTGAAATGTGTTCAATGTGCATACCTCCTATGGATATGAACAGCAAAGCGGAGCTCACTCCTGCTGAACGACTGTTGAATCGCTGCTCCCTGTGTCTGATGCCCCCAATGATCATGCAGATACCCTGAGGAGTACACAATCACAGACTGTCACTGTGAGTTTAGAGTACGTGCATGAGCATTTGTGAGCATTTCCTTCTCCGTCCCTCACAGGTATGAACAGTATACACCCCAGCAGGGTGCCAGTGAGGGCAGCTTTTACGATCTCTTCATAACATTTGGTGCCTGCACGGACGCCCTGCAGCAAGGCCGAGATGTAAAACGTCATCTCTGTGATCGAGCCGAATGTTGCATTCACCACCGCTCCCACTGCAAAGTTACTCTGTGCAGAAATGCTGCAAAAAAAATAAAAAATAAATCGCCATTAAACCAACAATTGAATAAACTGTTATCCCCAAACTGTACTTTCTCGTTCATTCACAGATATCTATTGGCAACAATGCCAAAGAAAAACCCTTACCTGGCTATACCCATGCCAATATAGTAGGAGAGTGGAATGATGGAGGTGATGGCTGTGGCAAACTTGGTTTCTGCGCTGACGTAAGTGTGATCATGGTCAGTGTAGCCATTAACCAGAGTGAAGAGTACGAGAGGAAGCAGGTCTGCAAGAAGCACGGTCTTAAGGAGAACAAATGGACCGAACAGAACTTCAACTCTCAGCTTATACAACTTTTATGAACTAGAAGTGCTGGCTTTTGCAGGAACTGTTTTTTTTTTTTTGTTTATATTTAAATGACCTTTTGGCTTTTTATAACAAGTTTTGTCCTGTTTTTCTGTGTCAATTTTAAACCATCGACCCAAAAAGGATACTGAGAGCAAAAATGTTGATTCCTTGCACAGTGTATTTGTAGTAATACACATTAAAGGCTTGATAACAGCATAAGATGACTCTGTTCTCACACTCCTGTGTCTGCAAAAGAAGAAACAACAACAAGTTACGATTCAAGTTTGTCGAGTTTGAGTTTTTGAGATATTTTCCCATGTTAATATAATATTCAAATGGTACTTTAAGCCATGACATTTGCTATTAAACGCAGCATGTCTTTCTAAAAACTAAATCCTGGTTATTCTGGCCTTCTGGGTAATCAAACCATGTTAATGGCAATTATCACAGAGAGTTTCTTTCTGTTGAAGTCTTTGAAATCTGTAAACATTGTGAGAGGAAAACCTGTCATTTGCAAATCAAAGCATAATTATGTACAGTTACTGCTACAACTGTCTTAAATGAGCCTTTATCAGTGCATTAGCTGCTAGAGCCATTATTCACACTGACATAGCAGTCATTCAGTTTTCTTTCACCATAGCTCATGAAGAGGCTATATTAAGTCTAGAGAATATAACCGTGATGAGCGGTGTGAGTATAGTGTACCTTTTCCACCTTGTGAACATGAACGTCCTCTGGTGCCATGAGGAGAACGGTGGTCAGCGTGCGAGCGTTCATTTTGGCAACAGGTATGGTGAAGACCAGCAGCCAGGAGAGCACACAGGCCAGGCAGTGGAACACACCCAGCACCGGGTAACCCAAGAGCAGCCAGACATACGTACTGAAACGACACTGCAGAAGAAGAAGAAGAATTCACATCATCTACAAAGTTCAAATATTAGTGACCTTTCTTTGGCAGAAGTGATCTTACCCAGTGTTTTGAAGTCTTTCTAGCAGGCGGTTCTGGGACAGGGATCTCAACAGGGATTGGAGAAGACACCAGAAGAGGCGCCACATCTTTACTCTCCTCACTGTCCCTCTCCTCAGGAATGACGTCACACTTGGGAGGCTTAATAATGCATCTCCGAACTGCACTTGGCTGAATAAGGCAAAGGAAACAACAGGATAAGATGACAAAAATATTCACTGGTACAGTCTAATAAACATGTTTCAGCACTTAAATATCTCAATGCTAAGACACAAAAAATGAAGACGCAAGGATACCGCATATGATATTACCTTTTCTACAGACTTTCCAAATGGCCAAATGAAGTAGCACGCCATCCGAAAACAAAGTTTGCCTTAAAAAGAGCAATAAAAACATAAACAGCATTACATTAAGCATTTGTGGAGAATCTGTAATACGCAAGAGTGAGGCAAGCATACGCACCATAAGGTGCACCAAAGATAGTTAGAAACATCAGTGGGCAAATGAGGAAGTAGATTAAAGACATCCACCATCCAAATAAGATTACATAAAATATATTCCCGAAGGAGACCATGGAGCCTGAAAGAAAGAAGAAGAAGAAGAATTACAAATTAAAGCTTTACCCATACAACTGTTATTTGTCTGCATGAGTATGTGGGTCCTCTGAAGTCCAAAGAAACAAAAATGAGGAAAAATACCATCCCGAGGCTTCACAATGCTAAGATCAGAATGGAGCTCTTTGATGATCTCTGATTGGTCTTCAATGGGTCTCTCTGTGACATTCATCTTCCACTTTCGGAAGCCAAACTGAAGAAAGAGGGATTTAAAATGTGTTACCCAGACATTCAGTGAGAAATGGAACTTAAACATGATCTTTCAGAATGAAACATTAGAGTTCAATGGGTTTGAAAGTAGTCCGTTCAGAAATAGTGAATTACTCCATGAGACAATGATGTGGTGAGAAGAAGAACAAATAACGCCACCTCCATCTTTAAACCTGGACTGTATGTCTCCTTTCAAATTGTGAGCACTTCTTTAACTTGAAGTTGGTTCTTGACTGTTTTTTTCTTTTCAAACATCCCCACTACTTAAAAGGTCAGCTTTAAAATAACTCCAAATTTTGACCCCTGCAATTCATTTGAATGCTGATGAGGTGCACGGTCAACATAGCCCACCTTGTAGTTGTTGGCCTCCCTGTGAGCCTCCACCTCATTCTCAGCTCTGATTGTTGTCTTTGAGGTGCCTTCGTGCCAGCCCTCTTCTCCATACCGTGACGGAGTCAATCGAACCCCTCGGGATGGAGTGGACCGGGCTGAGGCGCCGTGTCCTCCTGTGCAGACAAAAAAAATGTGAGCACAAAACTCTTCCACTGGGCAAGATTTACAAGTAGGAGCCATGATACTTGTTTGGATATACCTCTGTGGACGGTGAGGAAACATTTGGGTGTGTAGTGGCAGAAGTGGTGGTTAGAGGCATCAGGGGAGGGCGTCTCAACTGCACCGAGCTCTGGATGCTGGGGGCCAACTCTGAACCAGTCAGTTTGGGACTTTTGCCTCGGAAACCGGGGATGCTGCTCAGGATCTAGACAGTTCTCTTATAAAGATGAGTAACAGATTAAGGAAAATATTGACTAAAGTAAAACTTTGACACTTCAGCAGTGAAAAAAGCTTGAAACCACATATGATGATACTGTGTGTGTGTGTGTGTGTGTGTGTCTGCATGGGAGGTGTGGAGATTGACCTTCGCCAGGAACAACGCCCTCCCGCTAACTTGGAAATGTGTGTGTGACTAACAAAAACCTCCTGAGAGTCATGCAGGGTACCACCTCACCCCCCCTACTTTGTACACTACCGCCTGCCACGACCGATCACATTATCAATGCATTGCTACACATGGAGCTATGAAAACTTAGTGCACTGTGCTATGCTTTGAAATTAAAAATAAAAGCATGCTGGTTACGCTGTATAAAGTTGATCTGCTTGCTTATAATGTTGTCTTTCTGGATCTGACTTTATACTAATCACTGTCGATTCCCATGTCCTTTAGTTTATCAAAGAGAACAATGATGCAGGAGAGAGCTGATGTGGAAACTAAAAGCCCTTAGACATGAAGAAATAACATCTTTCAACTACACAGATCTCTCAAAAACTAATGTGAGATTTCCATTTCATTATAAAATTGGCTGCAATTTTTGGGGAGATGAGAACTAAAAAGGTCAGAAGAGTCAATTCAGGATCGAGTTATTTGAGACTCTCACACATAAATGAATAACGGTGTAGGAGTACACTGTCCCTGAAAGTCAAAGAAAACTAAAGGGTGTATTTTTTTGTTTAGTTAAACAGGGTCGGCAGCACAGGTGAAATGAATAAACGCACTTAGGATTCAAGTCTAAGGCAAAATCAGAATAATAAAAACACTAAGAACATTTGGAGAACTCTGTTAAAGTGGGGTTTTCTTTCAGTTGTGAAGGAGACAAAAACACCTCCTGTTGAAGTGCTGTTGAATGGAGGTCAAGCAGCAGCTGAGTCTCACCTGATTCAGCCATGGATCTCCTCCGCAGGTTCTCCACATCGCCAGGCATCACTGAAGAATTCTGGTTCGACATTCTTTTCTTTTTTTTTTCCACCCCCGCCCCCTAAGTATCAGTCTTGTACTATCTGAGCATCAACAGTGCAAGGCTTCCTTAGGTCTGTGTGGTGATGTCTGTCACCGGCTGACCACCACGTCGTTTGACTCCAAACAAATAGGCTACGATGGGAGAGAGGGGGTGGGGACAATCTCACTGAGTTCACAACACACAACATGGAACTGGAACTGTTATTTTATTCTTGCATTTTCAGCTTTCCCACTTTAGTTGTTTGAACACAGGTAGGCCTAACAAGTTATATTCCGAATCTTTTGAAATTTAGAAAAAAAAACAACAGCATATTTCAGAATTCAAAACTGTAGCGCTCCTAGTGGTAGAGTTATAAGACACTGCAGAATGAAGTGCAACTTTTAGTCCTAATTTGAAACCTCAGGTGTGACGTCTTTTAATTTGTCTCTCAAGTTGCGTCACTTTTTCCCCCTCATACATACATGCAAATGTTTCTTAGACATAAGTCAAATATTAATGTTTTATTTTGTAAGATAGTTTCAGAGACATTGACATATAGCCTACAGATCTTTTTTTTTGTTAATACCTTCAGGCACAGTCAGAGCCATTGTCAAAGGAGCTTCAGGGGAATGAGGCTTTGTACATGAGGTGCTGTGTGATGCAATCGTAATATTTGACAGGTTCAAGTGCAAATGTGTGAAATAAAGCAAAGCACTGAAACAAAAACTGTTAGGGGTTATTACTTTTATTGACATAAAAGAAAGTACAGCTGCAAAGTCAAAGTGACAGTAAACCTTTTTTTTTTTTTTTTAAACACAGTCGGGATAAAGACAAACAAGGCCAAATGGTGTATATCAATAAAAAGCTTACAAAACTGAATGCATCACTTTTCAAAGCAGGATATTTGAAAAATAATTCAAACATAATCTTCATTAAATGTTCAGCTATTCTGTATTCTTTTTACCAAACCAACTGTGTTGTTGAATTTGTAGTAGTGTGCTATCTAAAACATAAATAAACATCAACATAACTGGACACAAACTGACTTTCAATGGAAAAGAATATGTCTGCACTGTAGCGTCATTTATCCATACTGACTTTACAATAACATTTATGGGTGAAAGTTTGGTTACAGCACAAGCACAGTGACAACTTTTCATAACTGTAGACTCTTCCCTTTTTATTTCATTTTATCAGCAGAGTGATCAAGTGATTGATATATAAATATGTACAAATAATACCCTTACTGAGGATTCTATGAACATCCTATATACAGTACACACACATAGAAATAGAGAGCAGAACATGGAAACATTTAGAAACAAAGTAAAGTAACCTGTAACTTCTAAGTCCACTGCAGTCTAAAACACATCATACAAAAAGATTTTCAACTGGTAAGCACATATGAAGCCCAGTCAGGAGTGAATATGTACATCAGATACATACAAGTAGAAATACTGCTATAAAAAAATAACACTTTAGACAAAGCTGTACAAAAAGAAACTCTGTGTGGACATTCACAAAGAGAACTCATTGAGAAAAAGATGGCCATTTGAGTCTTCTTCTCAAGGAAAAGAATAAGCACATTGTCGGCTTATTGCACCAGGCAACAGAGTGCAAAAAATACTTTGTTTCATGCCAGCAACTGTGATATACCAAAATACAAAAAAGTCACTTAAAAGACATAGAAGACGTGTTGTTGTTTCAGGCCTACAGTAATGGAACTTTTCGCCCTGCTGCAGTCATTTAAAGGTGTACTTAAAGATTCAACAGAGCACACTTTCAGTAGACTAGATAAACCAGAGAGGGCACCAGGTAATGCTGAGTACTATTGTATTAAGTTATTCTAATAGGAAAATGGAGAGTACCTCAAGTTTATTGTAACACAAGTTATGACTTAAGTGGAGAGACATAAATGAGCTCTACTTAACTTAAAATCTGATACAGAAGGAGAGTATGGGCCTTTCTTTTATCTGTATGGTCTTCTGTGTAGGTCTCATTTGACTGTTTTTGGACAGTATACATCATACAAGAGCTGTCAGTCAAATATTAAAGATTACAACCAACTTTAAGTTTTATGGATGACCAACATCTTCAAATGTCCTGTTATTCAAAAACAAGATGGCTGTTTCAATTCATAATTGTATTCTTGACACCTTAACTAATGAATGCATGGGGGGGGGGGATTCAACGTCGAAATATTTTTGTTTCAAGCCATGTAAAGTTTAGCTGCCTCGTTTGTCTTGTCATCATGGAGTTGCCTTTTGAATTTTATTTTGGGACCAAATATAGTATAAAAATATTTTCCCCATAACTTATTCACATCATATTTCAGCTTTGTCCCTTTTCTTTTAAAAAAACAAAATCAGAAAATGGACCAGCTTAGTTCCATCTTTCCCTCTTAGCGGAGAGGATTCGGTGCACGTCAGTAAGAGTTTGAAAGTTTCCAGCACTTCTTGTAGCTTACTGTCTGTGTACCACAAAGTCAAATGTTGGTGATTTGCTCTTAGAAGTCAGAGTCCGCATCCATGAGCTCCGCCTCCATCAGATTGGTCCGGGAGTGAACGGGCCCATAACCGGTCCTCCGACTTGCCGGTACCCGAGCCACATGGGCCATCCTCTCTGAAAGCCCATCTGTGCGATCCATCTCTCTGGGGTAGCGGGAGGAACCACTGGGCTGCCAGGTGGAGGCTGAGGGGGGGCAGCGGGGGCCAAGACCCAGATCCTCCGGGCGATCGTCGTAGGTTAAAGGGTTAGAGAGCCGGTGGCTGCGGCCATGGCTGTTTGAGCTGCTCTGGTATTGTGGGTAGGGACCCCTCTCCTCACAAGACAAGGGGTGGGAGGGCTGGAAATCTGGGAAGGACCCTGGCAGGACTTCCTGCTCCATCTTTTGCTGATGCCGCAGGTTTGCCACCAGACTCGGGTGGGTTGGCAGTTTGGGGAGGCGAGGCACCGAGCTTCGTCCAAACTCACGCTGGCGGTAAGCGTGGTGGTCCACCATCTCCTCCTCCGGACGCACCTCCTTCCTCCTCTTCTTCTTCTTCTTTTTCCTCTTTATCATCTCTGGGGAAATCTCAGCTTCAACCATCCACAGCCGGTTCCTCTCCTCTGGAGGGGGCACTGGGGGCAAAAAAAAAACAATAATAGATGCTCTGATAGAAAGAAAAGGGCAAAGGAGGGAAGTGGGGGAAAAAAAGGAATGAATGGGAGTTTGAGATCTTACCTGGTGTACCGGTAGGAGTCACAGAAATGTCCTGCGGCAGGATGGCACCTCGCCTGGCAACCATCTTGGTCACATGCTGCGCCCAGGCTGAGGACATGTCATTCGATGGCTCATTCAGCTCAAAATTAATTCCAGCTATGAGAAACACAAGAAATACCAAATCAGGACAGCTTTATATGCAACATATAAAACTCTGAACTGTTGCAAGTTAAACAAGCACAGCAGCCACAGAAGCCCTGAAGAAACTGTTTCTGACACGATCGTCACAAGATATAATCCAAAAAATGTGACGCAGTTACAGTTATTGACCACACGGTGGAAGTATACAAACATCACCAGACCATCGCCTCAAGTGTTTCCTTCTTCCCTCCAAATAATACTCACCCACTGGACCATCATGGGACACCGTGTGCATGCTGAATGACAGCTCCTTCTCTGGGTCCTTGTGAAGCTCCTTCCTCATCGCGAAGGCTTTTGCGATCATCTTGCTCTTTTTGATCCTCTTTGGTTCATTGTCGCTGCGTCCGATTATCCTGTCCCAAAACGTAATCATTTAACGTCACTCAAGTTCAAACGGATCATTCCCGGACGCCTTCAATACTGTGCCTTTTTTTTTTTTTTTTTTTTAAACAGAAGGAGAACAGCCTTTGCATAAAATCCAAGTCATATTGAGCCCATGTGAGCACAGTTACAAAAGCCGGGATTAACACTGCAAACTGGTTGAATAGAAAAGACACTTAAACCATCCTGCCAGGAAATCTGTAAAACCATACATGAACGTGATTAGATCATGACCAGTAAAAATACATGGATGTAGACATTTGAAAGGAGTACTTGAAGGATGCAAATATGCCTAAAAAAAAGACAATCTTAGTTATCTGTTTGTTAAAGTACGGCTAAAGCCACACATATCACTTCTAATGTTCACTCAATGTATTCTTACCTGCACCAGGTCCGCTTCCAGATGAGGATGGTGGCCTTGGTCCAGACCCAGGTGCTCATAGCGATTCCAGTCCCAAACATGGAGAACAGGTTGATTTTCTCCACCATCAGGCTGGGACGGTTCTTTATGGTGCACTCTGGGATCGGCTTGTTGGTCTTGGAGGCGATTGTCACGTTGGCTTCACACCTGTTGACAAAAAGTCCCAGAGATGATCGGCCTAATGCCTCCACCAAGTTCCTCCCACACCTTCTGTGTACATGACGGAGCTATATTCAAATGCTGGATCTGGTACATAGGAGAGTCTTTTCACATGTGAGGGCAGGAAAGAGCAGTTTACATTTTTGAGGCTAAATTAATTCCAGCCCAGCCAGTGTCAACACTGTGGGGAAATAGGGCTGCATTCACCGCTGGAGGCTGAGAGGTTGAGCAGCGGTTTGGAGCCTCAGCAGCATCAATTTGAGGATTTCTGTATGGATGGTTTAGCTATTAAGTAGTTCTGGTCCAAGCAGGTGTAAACCATTGCTGCTATGCCATGTAGAAATGAGGAAGGAGACTGTAGACATTTCTGGATTTTTTTAAAATGTACTTTAAAAAAAACTTACAGCACATATTCTCTGAAGCTCCTCTCCCATTCAGCCTGGTTAAAGAAATCGTAGAAATGGCAGCCGAAGGTGATAAGAACAAAGCCAAAAGCGAGAAAGCCAAATATACCTGACAAAGAGAAACAGAACAAATGAGAGGTTTGATATCAGACACCTTACAGTACTCATGATAGGCTTCATAACAAGGTCTATAAGAGTTTGTTTGGAAATGTAGTGTAAGCGATAAACGTTATTGTAAAATAACAATCTTTATTTTTGTAGTTAAAAATACTTAAACTGTTGATTACAGCTCAAAATGATGAGCAGTCAAAAGTGTTGATATTCTGTGTTAAGTGGATCAGAAGACGTGCTGCCACAGACTCTTTCAATCTTGATTTCTTCACTGAACACTTAGTTTGTCTCCCGTATCCTAACCAGGAGAGTTTCTACTTTAACCCCCCTCTAGATGTAAAAGAGAAGAACATACCGAGTCTCAGCATGGTCTCATTGATTTTGCTGGCTGCTTTCTCACTTAGTAGTCCTGGGTGGTTACTCTTAATGGAAAACAAAGTCATCACACCTAAAAAGAGAAATATACTGGATGAGTTGTTGTTGGTAAAACATCAAGTACAGAAGTGGAAAGGTCTAGACTACTTGGCTTCACTGAAAAACAAGCCAACACAGAGCTACTTTAAATGTGTGTCTGATTTTTAGGTTCCTCACCTCGAATGAGGAAGTAGCCACCAACAACCAGCACCACTCCAATAGGAGCCAGCACAAAGCCAGCACGGTATCTGTAGTTTTTGTAGCCCACAAAACAGATCCCACTCACTGAGTCTCCATCCACCTGTGGAGCCAAACAAGACAACACATCAGACACAGGATTGGGTCATCACACTGAAAATATTTGATTGTTTATATCTGGATTTCAAACCTCAGCAATAGCGAGGATGGCTACAGTGAGGACGAAGGGAATGGACCAGGTGACCATGTGGAAGTAGGAGGTTCTGCCGGACAGCGGCTGGTGAGTGGTGCCAAGTGCTTTGAACGACGTGTGCCAGGCGTAGGTCAGCATGACGAACCAGATCACACCCGACATCAGGGAGTAGTACACGATGATGAAGATGGTGACACACGAGAGCGTCTCAGAAGACCTGCAGAGGCAAATGCGACATGAAATTTATTAGGATGTCTAGTGAAGTTAAGTTTTTTATTTTTCACACAAATATACTGAACACATGAAGAAATATGAAGGCGTGTGTGTGGGTGTGGTTGAAACCCATAAATAGCTTGTATGAAACTACACCTAAGAGACATTTACAAGGTAACACAGGTACACAAAATCCCCAGAACACAAATATCAGAGATATCCAAGAACATGAACAAAAAAAGTCAGAAATCTGTTTGGATTTGTTCCAGATTCATCAAATATTTTCAATAGAAGGACATTTCTAAATCTCCTTGTCCGTGTACACACACAGAACTCTGAGTCGACAAGCTCATGCTTTGACATTTGATTGGAAACTGAGAAACAGAAGAGGAGGATTAAGATTGTAGCATGTCTAGTTAGAAAATACCTGGATTTGAGACAGAGAGTGTCAAAGTATGATGACTGGTAAAGGTATGACCAATCAAATCAAATCCAGATAAGTATGATCCAGTCTCACAACCCATCAGTTGAACTCCTGTACTTACGAGGGCTCCCCGAGTCTCATGGTGTTGTCGCTCTTGCACACGATCTCCTCCCGTGCTCCGTCCAGGAACTGAGCCAGCCAGCCGATACTGCCCACAAAGAAGCAGGCGTTGATGTAGAAGAGGATGACAGCCGGGTAACGGTTGGAGTTCTTCCAGTCGGCAAGAAATGTAGCCTGAATGTGAGGATGTTTTAAAAGTTAGAGGAGGGTTCAAAAGTTAGCTTTCTGTATATAAAACTATTATAACTGATTTCTGGGTACTGTAGTTTCATCTCACCAGTGTGAAGAAGGTGCAGAGGAGAGTGATGGTGGCAAAGTAAGCGATGTAGGCGTGCATGTCATTGTGTTCCTCCTCTGTGAACAGAGGGTTGTCACATTGGATGCCGCAGCCCTCCACGTCTTTGTACCAGCTCGACTGAATGTCTGTTTTCACCAGAGGAGCCTCACACTGTCCTGACGTGTTGAACTTCAGCTTCTGTACCTCATTCTGCACAAACACACAGATCAATCAATCATTATTTGTATCGCGCCAATTCATAACAACGGTTATCTCAAGACGCTTTACAAAAGAGCACAGCAGAGATGAGATTCAATGGAATCTAGTCTGGAGATCGTGCAGCAATATCACAGCTTATAACGTAACAGCAGAGCGTACCGAGCAGCCCAGAGGGAAATGGTCACATTTGAGGAAGTTGGGCCAGCCTCTCTCCCGGTCCACGATGCTGCAGGGCCGACGTGTAGCCAAACACAGATTCTGACTGGGGAGCTCCACTCGGCCGTTCTCACATTTGGGCATATAGACGGCACAGAGCAAAGGCTGGATGACCGACCAACACCGAGGAGCGTTACGCAAACCTAAGACAGGGAAAGCAATAACAAAGAAGTTGGTCAATATGTGGGTAAAACATTATAATCCTTATACTTAATTGTTTGACAATGCTGTCATCCACATTATTACAGGTTATGACTTCCTGAGTTCATCTGTAATTACTTTATTTTACAGACCGGTTCAGTATTTCTTAATGCAACAATAGCCGTTTAATCAATCTGTCAATTAAAAAGGAAAATATCATCAAAAACTGCCATTGATTTCCTGAATTCAGCTGCTCTGGTGTGAGGATTTCATCACAGGGACTCTTAATATTACAGAAAAGAATCTGCAGTTTGGCTGATAAGAAAATAGAATGACGTTTCTGGGCTATTTTTTTTGGCCTATTTTTTTTTCCAATGAAAAGAAAACTAAGATTTTGAGGAATAAATCCGAAGAAAAAAATATTTTTGTCCAATTTAACATGAAATACATCTTCATGTTCTTGCTGCCATTTGTAATCCATATAGTTAGCACAGTACTCATTTTTAACACACTGAAACAACAGTTAAGAGAAAGTAACAACATTATTAATCTAAGCTCCATCATCTTAATGATGCTGTGCTTAATTAAACATGTATACACTGAATACAGTTCTGTCAATCGTTTTGTGTTAAACAGGAGAATAAACAAACCAAGGCTCCTGAGCACTAAACGTCATCAGGTGTGTGTTTCCTGTGAGTATGACAGATCATTACAGATCATCAAGTCTTCTAACAGATGATCTAAAAAGCTTTTCTACCTGAGATTCTCCTTTTGTCTCATGGCTAACACCTATGAGTGATTCCTTTTGTTGCCTTTAATGGCTCTTAACCTCTTCATTTCCAGTTAGGGGCCTCACTTCCTGCTCATCATAGCCCATTGTTAGACCATTATTATCACATCCAGACAACACAATAAACACTCACTTAGCCCACTATAAAGTCATCCAAATGAAATATTTTGGATTTTGTGGGTCAATTTAACACCAATACTTATCTTTTTTTTTTTTTTTTTTTTTTTTACAGATACAGACAAATCAAGTCGACTTGAGTATTTAATACAACTCCAAAACGGTCTCATGGACAGTCATTGATTTATTGTGAAGTTATACTTGTTATACTTACTCATTAACAAGTTTAGATTCCAGTCTGTCACGTTCACATTTTATAAATCATAATTATGAGACATTTTTAACCACATATAATAAAGAGACTGAACGCTTAGTTTTCGTAGGCACTTCATACTGTACGGTGGTCAATGACTGATCTGTCGTGAAATATTATATTCAACTCAAACTTTGGAAACTGGAAGGTCCTGTTTCCATTTCCATTAAAGCTATGGTCATTTCGGTACAGTAGGTGGATGCTGTTCTCTTGTGCACTGTGAAAGGATTCATCAAATCTTGCATTCGTTTTGCAGCTCTGTGTGTTTATCAGTTTTTTCCACAATCAAAACAACCAATCATGGAGCATCTTTAAGTCTTTATTTGGATCCATGAACACTTACCAGACCACATGGTCAACTTCTCAAAGGCATCTTCTTGGGTGCTGGAGTCCTCCGCCAGGATCAGAGATGTATGTGTGTATGGTAAAGGCGATCCCAGACATGTGTTGTATTTCAGAGCTTCACAGGTTGTTGTTTTCTTGCACTGATCCTCGAAGATGGTCCCATTCGGAGACAAAACTGCCCCGGAGCCAGAGATCCAGGCAGCCCAGAGGGAAAGCATCCCGTAAAATCCAACAATGGGGCTCCTGCGAGCCTGGGAAGACATCTTGGGAGAGAGAGTATAACTGTGCACAGATGAGATTACTTTGTATCCTATCGCTTCACTTATGCCGCGTCCACGGTCAATGATCGATTACGTTTTCTTCATTAGATTTTAAGAAGGTTTCCAAACTCTGCATGCTGAGTGGAAACAGCCTTAAAGTTGTCTCGCAGTCCTCCCAAACTTTTTTACTCTGCACTTCTCGTCCGATCCTTGCGAGATCTCCCAGAATTCCTTCATTATCCAGATTCCAAAAGCTCCAAGAAGTCATGAAAAACGCGACGAACACTTTCAATCGGATTCTTTAAATGTTGTTTTGAGGTATTTACGCTGGGTAAGAAAGGGAACCAGGCCGAGAAAGTTGTAAATTCGCCCTCCCCCCACCTCCAAAAAACTTGCCATGAAAAAGTCTGGATCTCTGTAATAGGATCTCTCTCTCAGACGCACCACCCCTTTTTTTTTTTCCACAGCCCCCCTTTTACTCTGACAGAACAATAAAATGATAGACTATCCTGAACCTCTCTCAAGAATGGATCTTTCTCCCTGTGAGGTGTCCGATGAGATGTTCCCGAGGCTGACTTGTGTTCAGAGCTGCAGCTCAATCACACTGTCTTTTTTTTTTTTTTTTTTTTTTTTTTTGTGTGGCTCTGGTATGCACATGGTGGGGGAGAGCCTGAGCAACAAAACTTCCCCTCCCATCCCCCCTCTCTTCAAGTGGAAGAATGTGCCTTATGGCAGGCCTTCCCAAAAGTTTCTCATCTCAAGGACCTCCAAAAACAACACAGACCCCCATATGATGAAACTCAGATCTGTGTGGTGGATCACACACCTGTAGATCTTCTACATGTCCACACAATCTGCTGCTTCTCATTTCACCAAAGCCCTCCAGGTGGTCCTCTGAACTTTTTAAGAGATTCTGGATCTGCCTATAACGCAGAAGCTACAGTGGTCAATGATTCAAATGAATTTAAATGTAAGTGCCCTTAGAATGCGTGTTGCTACTACAGAATGAGCTTTTTTTTTTTTTAAAATCATTTTGGCATTTAATAGAGTTCACAGCTGCTCAGGAGGCTAGAAATATTCAAACTGTTTTAAAAAACCTAAAAATTCTACATTAAAGAGGATTATATAAATCTATTTATATACAGTCTTTTGTATGAACGAAAGCAGAATGTCGCTCTAACAGTCAAATGTTTTTATAATAAAGGTAAAGAAATGCATATCATTATTTTTGACACATACACATAAATACATCTATATCAAACTCTATTATTATCACGTGTCATTTGTCTGTCAGCTCATTGTTTGATTTGATCAAATAGATGTAGTTGTTTTGGTGCAGTTTTGTTTTTACTGAGTATGATGACGCTCTTTGCCTAAAGATGGGAGGCGTAAAGCTTAACCATTATTAGTTATTATGTATGATGAATAACATAGGGATTGAGGTATAGTTTTGAATAGTTCTTGCATGGGTTGTTTGTGTGAGTATTTTGTATGTGTGGGAGGGAGGGGACAGTTAATAACTCAAATCTGTCCAGTCCTTTGGGAAAGGCATAATGGACCAGGCTTCCGCTGGTTAAAGAGGCTGCAGGAACCTTTCAAACCTGCTTCAAATACAATACATGAAGAGTGAATCTGAGTTCTTATCATTGTGATTTAGTGAAGTTTATTTTCAAGTTCTTGAATTTGCACATTTACAGTTAAAAAAAAAAAAAAACCTCTAACTGCTCAAATCTCCCCCCTTGTGCTGTTGTTATCGCATTAATTGGACAGTGCACTTGTGGTATTCGCATGGCTGCAGATGCTTTGTTTCTCCCCCGGTGTTCCGAGAGTAAATCTGGGTTAACTCTGCTCCCTCCTCTGCATGTGTGTGTGTGTGTGTGTGCCTGTCTGGGCCTCCTTGAAATCCAAAGCAACATGGCCGCCTGAGTGAGTCAGAGGCAAAAAACCAGAGACCACACACAGAGCAACAGTTTGGTCCAACACACGCGCACACACACACACACACACACACACACACACACACACAGCTAACTATCACTTTTACATTAAACTCAGATGCTTCTACCACATTAAAACACGTCACAGCTTGGCTATTATAAACAATGTTCTTCTCCTTTACTCCAACAGATTCTGACTGTAGATTTGCGTCATGTGCTGAAAGGGAAAATCCCAGGAAGGTTTGTGTTACTGCAACTTCAAACTAACACAGAAATGTCATGTTTGGATTGTGGACTTGCGTCAAAGGCTGTTCAACATGCAGGATCGAATCTGCTCCAAAAGATTTCAGGCGTCAGGTTTCAGGCGGGGGGAATGTCTCATAAGACAGGACTTCATTTGCCGGGAGGAGATGAGAGGTGCTGGTTTATGCTGCAGATACCTGAGGTGTTGAAGAATGAAGGTGTCACCAACGAAATGAGAAGCTTAAAAGGATTTTGCATTGATGATACATGAAGATTCAGTACTGAGATTTACATCTGAAGATGATTGTCGCAGGTACAAAAAAATTCCTAACCATGCAAAAGCTGTTCTAAATGTTGTTTTTTCTTAGTTAGAGCCACTGTCAGCTGACTATCGGCCCGTTCTAGTGACCACATAAAGAAAACAACAGTCCGCACTCTCTGGCCAACATAAAATTGTTTTCTTTTGTGGTTCTCCGGGAATTCCCGCTCCTTTCCCATTAGTTGAACATTACGACAAATGAAAACCCAAAAGGAGGAGACAAGAGATGATTATGATGCAAACAGGATTGAGCACACTATGTGAGGAATACGAGTTTATAATAGCAGAAAATAGAGATATACCCCAGAAAATCCAGGAGCTCTCCATCCATGCAGGCCAGCGGCTGTTTACAACACAAGGCAGAGGAAATGACACCATGTGCAGTGTGAGGTCACGGTAGGACAACTAAGCAGCCCAACATAGCTTTATGGACAGTATGACCATTGGCGCAAACATGTTCTTTACAGCTCATGTTGTAAAAACTGTTTATTTTACTTTTGGCATTAAGATCAACTTGGGAAAACATGAGACTCATACAGTAAATACACACTGACATATGTGCATATCTCATGCTTATGTTCAACAATGCATCAAGGAGGATGACCTGTCCTTTTAAAACAACTTTTAAAAAACAAATGAAAAAGAAAACGTGCATGAATTTTTTTTTCCATTGCTAGTAACACAATAAAAAATGACTCAGAACAAAATATTGGATGTATTTTCACTGATTCTGGCAGCCATAAGAAACAATTCTGGACATTCTTGAATCCTAAAAAAAAAAGTCTACAAAATCATCGTGTTCATGAATATAAATCATTTTTTTCAGTAACATTTGAAGCTTCTTTGATACAGCTGATATCAAAATGCATTGATCCATTAAATTCTGCTTCAATTTTGAGTCTTTCACATTAATGGAATGATTGTCTTGTTCAAGATTACACAGAAAAAAACCTATCAGTAACAGGAAACTACAAAAAAAACGATTTTATTCAATTCGAGTAACGTCTATGTCCCCTAGGTGGCGACAGTGTCCTATTTCACCATCGGTTTCCTTTATGTGACTTGAAGTCCACCTCCATGCAAATTATTTAAAGACACATAAAAGGATCATCCACACTGAACACAAGTCTTGTGTCTTAAGGACGAAGGCAACGACTCTGAATGTTCACTCCAGGCAAAGGAGACAGATGTTCTGTCAGAGAACTAAGGTTCTCCTCTCAAAACTGATGATCAGGTCTGATGTGGTCTGGATCAGCTCCACGGGTCTGAACGGTGTTGGATGTAGTAGTTCTGGTTCTCGATCTGGTCTTTGATCTGGTTGATCAATATCTGGGACAAGAGGATGCCGACCAGCTGCAGGAGAGAAAACACAAACAGAGAACTGACCTGTTGGGTATCCAGGTTAAAGTCTACACTCTGCGCAGTGTGTGTATGTCATGCAATAAATCCTACCTGTGGTATTGCAAGTCCCAGTGCTACGCCTCCCAGTATGAACAGGTTACTGTGGATCCAGTCCACCAGTTTGTCTATGCAGCCGTTGGTGTGGATGTGATCTCCCGCTTGAACGTACTCCAAATCCTGCACGCCCATTCCACACATGGTGTTTATAACCAGCTGCGTGAGCAAAGAAAAAGTTAGAAGAGAAACTCATAAATAAATATCCACAGCTAAAAAATGTAAAAGAACACAAAAAAGTATGAGAATGCGACCTTGTCTTCGGATAGTATACAGCAGGAGAAGGGGACGGAGCAGCGCTCTCTGCTCGGGTTATCTGTCTTGCAGTTGAAGTACATGTTCTTAGACCAGTCAGTGTATGTCACGGCTCCACAGCAGTCAAACTGAGGAAACAGACAAACACAAGTGCTGTCTAATATATACCTGGTGGGAATATTATCATAAGCGACAGTATGTTATCTGTATTTGGACCACACTCTTACCTCTTTCTGGCCAAAGTCAATGAGGTTTTGTAAATCAATGTCATCTCTGTAGTGGACGATGGCCTTATTGATGATCTCAGTCACTCTATCCCGAGCCTTGGCAGGGTATAAAAAGGCACATTTAAGAGCATATACAAAAAGATACATTACAGACCCACAGAAATCTTATCATTTGTATTACAAAGGTAAAAATCGTCAGTGAATTACAGATAATGACAAGCTCAAGATACTATAGTATCCTGAAGAGTTTTAACATTTTTCAGCAGTTACAGGTGAAGTCCAGAAGAGGGCAGTGTTTTACAATCTTCACCAGAAGAAAAGAAAAAATTAAGAACAAATTGTAAACCTTTAAGAGGTGCATCTGGTTTGTTATTCCCTTTTACTTGAACTCTCACAGGGAACTTGAAGCCATAAAAAGTTCTGTCAAATACTTTGTTTTTATATTATTATAGTGATAGAAAAAAAACCCCACTGTATTGGAATTACCTTATCAGAGAAGATGAAGCCCAGGATCCCAGCAGTCAGCTGGAGCAAGAAGATCACAGTCAGACAGATACAGAACTACAGTAGGGAAGAGAGAGAAAGTAAAGTCGTATCTGTTTGTGGCTTAGATGACAAATTCCTTTAAATGGCATCTCCATGCCAGGATCAGGTGTTACTTGGCATATCTTCTGCTTGAAAAGAAAACATGCAGAAAGAGAAAGAACTTCAGAGCAAGGCCTTGAAATAGAAAGACAAGGGAAAAGCTCATCAACTTCAGAGGTTTAAAAAAAAACTTGGCTTTAACTCTTAAAAAAACAAAGTTCTCAAATTTGTTTTAATCAATAGCGAGTTTATGAAAGGCAGGAGGTTGACAGTCCTCTGACTCACTGTTTGAAGGAGGCAGATGTTTTCTCGCAGGGAGCCCACACAGCCACAGAAGGTGAGGAAAAACATGAGGACCCCGATCACCAACAGCATCATGGCGGGGTCCACGGAGAGACATGCCAGAGCCGCCTCTGAGGAGGAGGAGAAGAAGAAGAAGAAGAGAAGAGAGCAAAGTTATCTTTTTATTCAATTGTGTATGTTTTCACTTGTCCTTCTCTAGATGTTTTCTTCTTCTCTTCCTGTAAATCTCCCTCTTAACATAAATGAAGACTCTTTGCCCTATCAAGTGAAGGATCATTTACCTGCATGTTTCATCATGCGGGCGTACACACCAATCGAAATCATCACCAGGGCAATTATCTGAGGTTGAAATAGAGAAAAAAAATGTTTTTAACACTGCATTTTGCAACATAATAAATAATGCATTATACTGGAGGAAAACACACACCACAGAGAGAGAAGAATGCTTTCTATGTTCATACTTGTCCGAGGAGTGGCACCATCCCCCCAAAAAAACAGATTAATATGAGTCACAGTGCACAGACAGATAGAAGCTAATTTCCTATAAATCAACATCGTCCATGTCTTAATAATCAAAGTACTATCAGTGTTAAACAACAGGACCACATGTTTTTTAATTTAAAATGTAGAGAAGGAGATTCTTCCTTCCTCTCTGCCTCCATTTGACTTAATCGACCTGGCAGCTGTCTGTACCTTTCCTTAAAAAACAAAAAAAGAAGAATAAGGACTCTTTCACTCAGAGCTCCCCTCTCGGCCTCAATAGAATAAAAGGGAGCACTCTGAAACACTCCTACCTTCCTGAATGAAATGGATCCATTTCATGCACCTCTCAGGGTGGGAGAGCAAAGCTGGATTTGTTTGCCCTCTTTTGTTAAAGGTTTAGTTTCACAGTGAATACACCAGGCATGACACCTGAAGCAAACAATTGCCCCCCCCCCCAATATTGTATGCAATTTCCTATGATTACAGACGTCCTAGACTAGAAAGGAACCATGCATTTTGCTGTAATCTTCAGTGTGTCTTATACTGTATGTAGTGTAGCCAGAGGCAACAGAAATGACAACAACACATTCCATGTTGAAGAGCTTCAAGTTTTTGCACGGCCTGATCCTGTTACTACACGGCAAGAAGTAATGCTCACAGCTCGAACACTGCCAACACTCTCATTCAGGTTTGTTTAAAGTTCTCTGTTTCTGATATAGTTTCTTGGCCAGGAACAACAAAGTCTCCTTACACTCGACCAAATCCCATCAAGTCTAATCTGCAGCAACAGACCTGCTTTAAAATGTCGTAAGTGAGAAATCTGCTTATGTTACAAGCCCCTGACACTCCAACCCACTGACATGAACTTTGGTTTTGATACACTGCTGAGCTTTGCTGAAAGGTTTCAACTGCATTCTTTACGGTCAAAAGTCGTTGAATTATTAACTTACTGTTGTGGGAAAGAAGTCTGCCTGCAAAATGGTATTACTAACTAAACCACACTACTTCTTTGTTAATGCGTTTGTCATGAAATCACATTAGTTATTGTTGACTGTTAGAGGATGGTTGGTTCTGAGCTCTACATTCTTTGAGGTAAAATCTGATCAACCATTCCTGGTTTGCAAAGTAAAAAGAGAACGTGTCCAATGGCTGAGCAGTAAACGGGTGCTGTGTGAGTTTGTGTGCATGTTGTTATCTCTCCTTCACCCTTTTCCTGGACACTTTTTGTAAAATACTGAAGTTAATGATCAACTAACTCAAACAAAGCAGAGGGTGCCCAAACCTTCAGCAGACAAACTCTACATCTCATCTTTGAGGTGAAATAGAAAGGACACACTAAAAACTGATAAATGAAAATGATTTCAGAAACAGCCTTCAATTGACTTTCTCTATGACGTATTGTTTTATTTAACCGACCGAGATAATTGCCAAGAAAAAAGTTGATCCTGTAGTTTAAAAGGACAAGAAATACTCACCCAAAAGATAAAATTAAACAGGAACAGCAGGTACTTGACAAATGGACTGACTAATGAGTTGTCCTCGTCCGTTCCAGCTGCGCCTTTGCGTCTTCTATTCATGGCGTCAAGTGTCCAAATGTGTTATCCAACTTTGCGCACAAACAAGCGACCGAAACGATGAGTGAAATAATTTCCGCAAGTAAAACGAAAGTCTTCACAGCATATTTCAATGCACAGTGTTGCCTGCACAGTTTGGACAGCTTCTGACTGGGCGTTACTGGGTGTGTTAGTGCGACTGTATCTCACGTCCACGCCGCTGAGCATCCAACCTGGATAATCACGGGCTCCCCAAATAGAAAAAAACCCGAAAAACTTAAAAAAAAAAACATTTAATTTTTTGTTCTGCATTTTTTTTCCAAACCCAAACATAGGGAACTATATGACTTGCGTGTGAACCCCCCCTTTTTTTTTTTTTTTTTTACATTAACCTCGCAACACTTATTGTGCTTTTATTTTGAAGGAAGACGCACATTGGCAAGACAATTTTCACAACATCCGATTAACCCGGAAGTGTGTTTCTCTGCTCTTGCAAGATGAGTGTAGAAGTTGTTTTTTAAAATCACACTTGGCCGATATATATTACACCACGAAATGGCGTGGAAAAGCACAGGTTTGTGAGGTTACGTATCTAGTCACAGTCTCTTTGCGAGTCGCTTGCCATTTTTTTTATTTATTTTTTTATTCATTTGAGCCTCTGCAGATAAAAAAAGGAGCTTCATCGATTTATTCATTCCCAATATTGCTTGTCAACATGTCCCCTCCTGCAGGCACCCCACTCCCCCAGCCTCCTTTATCCTCGTTGTTCCCCAGTGAGACTTGTATCTGCGCTCATGTTGCAAATAGTGCAGCAGCATGTCGTGACGCGCTATGACAAGCTGGTGGACTTCATCACCTTGACGACGGAGATGGTCCCAGAGCTGCTGAATCCCAGTCAGAGAGCTCAGCTGATTCTGGGCCTGAGAGCGAGGGTGAGGACTTTTACGACACTGTTTCCCTTTTGTTTGTGTTTAACTATTTATATGTTAGTGTGTGTTTACATTTCAACCATACCCTTATGCGCAGAGTGGATTGTTTTGTCCTGTTGCAGCTGGTTCTGGAGCTGTGTCGTGGTGATGGAGTCGCCAACCTGCAGGCCATCCAGAGCCACCTGGATAAAATCCACGCCTGTGGCTCTGATCTGAGCTCCACTGATGAGATGGTGGTTTTTAAAAATTTATTTAATTTTTTTAAAGAAAATTCAGAGCTGCATGGGAAAAAAAAAAAAAAAATCCTAAAAGTATTGCTCACTTCTTAGCAGGTCAACGGTGATATTCTGGAGATGTCGTACACCAACTTTGCCAGCCTGGTGCAGAACCTTTTAAATGTTCCATATGAAAAGGATTATTTCTTCAGAGTAAGTCTTATTTTTTTTTATTTTTTTTTTAAAGTAATCCATATTTAATACTGAGTTGTTTCTTTTAAAGTAAAAATAACGAGCTTTCCTTTAGTTACACTTGCTTATTATGTTCAAACTCTACGCTGTTTCTGTAGGAGGTTTTTCCTGAAAACTACGGCTCTAACTATGACCAAAGACTGCAGCAGCTGGTGTCTCGGTTCCTGTCCCGTCTGGAGCAACTGCTGCCCATACCCGACCTGCAGCAGGTTACAAATTCTATCACCAGTTATCAGTCATAATGATTCAGATGGTGAAGCATGTAACTTCACTTATTATTTATTCAGCATGCTATCACAAGGCTTGTTGGACACGGTGTAATTTCCTTCATTAACGCTAATTTTAGCCAATAAAAATATATTTTTTCTGATTTTGCTTGGGCTTTGTAAGTATGTGACAACTTTTCTGTGTGTCAGACCGCGGCATGGCTCACTGAGACCGACTATGTGGCAGAGGAATTGGATCAGCATCTGTCTGAATCATTTGCTGTGAAGACTCTGCTTCTTCATCACAGACACTTGGGAACTCTCAGCTCGGGTACGCGTGACAAAAGAAATGAAGGGAGGTCGTTTTATTTATACCCATCTTCCATCTGTGTGAGAGATCCAGGCTTTTTTTTTTGTCAATTAGTTACTTTTTTAGTGTCTTGCTCACCTTACAATCTATCTTTCTTTCGTTGACAATGAATCCATTTTTATTGAAAGAAATAAAAACATTCTTATCAATCAATCTTATCACAGCTCTGGTGTTTAAAATGTCACAAACCATCCTCCCCCACAGACTCCTCCAGCAGTGAAGAAGACAACCTGTTGTCCACTCTGGCCCTCCCTGTGCAGACTGCAGTGGAGAGGTTGACTGAGCATTTCAGTGAAGATGATGATTATGTGAGTGAGGAACAGACACTGGAAGAATTAGACGAAGACTCCAATAAAGACAATGCAGATGAGTCGTTGCCAAAAAAAGAAACAGGTATGACAATGTCTGTTGGAGAATTAAACCGTTCTCTGTCCCAATCTTTTACTCTCATTCACTCGCTGGTTATATTCTGTTTGCAGGTCATCCAGCCCGTTTATTCATCTGCTCTCAGTGTTCGTTCACTCACCAAACAAAGAGGAGGGTCCAGCAGCACATCCAGAGTGAGCACCACATGACAGTTCCTGTTCTGAAAAGGTTTTCTGTGAAAGACGGAGAAAGGACCCGGCAGACAAGTAAAGAGTCCAACACTGAGAAGGATAAACAAGGAGGTGGCTCGAAGAAAAAGAAGCAACAAAAAGACGGTGACAAAAAAAAGCGGGAACACAAGTGGAAGAAGAAAGACAATTTGGAAAACAAGGAACGGTGTGCGACGAAAGAGCCCACGGAGGAGGACAAAAGGTTTCTGAACAGGAGAGCTGTGAACAAAAACTTCACAGAGGAAGAAACCAAATGCTCGAAGTGTGAAAAGACTTTTGAACTTCCAAATCAGCTTAAGACTCACATGAAGCTCCACAGCTTGAAGCACCACTGCAGCCAGTGTGAGAAGGGATTCAGCAGCTCGTCAGGCTACTATCAGCACCAGAGACTCCACAAGAGTGGGCGCATTTTCAACTGCAGCCATTGCAACAAAGGATTCCTGTGCAACTACTCGCTGAAGCAGCATGAACGTCTGCACGAAGGCCCGTCCAATCAGTGCGGGGTGTGCGGGAAAGGCTTCAGCAAAGCAGGCATCAAGAGGCACATGCAGATGCACAGAGGGGAGAAGAATTACCTGTGCACAACATGCGGCAAGATGTTTTTTTCGTCCGGAGAGCTACTGCTGCACACTCGCTCTCACACCGGAGAGACGCCGTACACCTGCACCCACTGCGGGAAAGGATTCTCCTCGAAAAGTCACCTGATTGTTCACAACCGCTCTCACACAGGGGAGCGGCCGTACCTCTGCTCCGAGTGTCCCAAACGTTTCCTCACACTGAACTGCCTGAAGAGACACACGCTCAGCCACAACGGGGTCAAACCGTTCAAATGTCCGAACTGCGAGAGAGAATTCTCCCAGCAGGGGAATCTGAAAAGACACATGGCGACTCATAAGCCTGACACGTGACGTGAAGCTTCTTCTGCCGATAGGAAAGAGTTTTTAAGTTCAAGTGTCTTTGGAAACACACGTTAAATAAAGAGCCCATCTCTTAATTGTGATGTCATGGCTAGTTTACCGCTGTGATGGTTAAAAAGAAGGGAGTTACAAGCGGTGATTTTTGGTCAATCTTTTAGGATTGGAGTACAGAAGCTTTACCGAACTTCAGAAAACTTGTACAACATCATTGTGTTTGTGGTTTGATATCATACAGTAGCTTTTTTTACCTTGTCTAGGGACAGTTTTATAAAAGGCTGGCTCAAATCCAAACTTTGATTTAGTCACTGATGGTTTTATTTGAGAGCTGATGAATGCCAATCAGTGAAGATTCATGACGTATTTGTCAACTGGCACATTATTAGGTTAGTGTGCGTTTGGAACGTTAATCTCGACATACATTTAGCATTAATTCAGAGGAAAATATCTCAGATTCAAACAGCCGTATCAAAAAAAAACGAGTTGTTTTTGAAGGGAGGCTAGTCTCTTGTTGCAGCAGTGAAAACATTTGTTTTATCTGGAGATCATAGAACACAATATTGAATCAAACATAAACCCCCTGGACAGGTTGGCAAAATACAGAATACCAAGAAAGGTAATGAAGATAGTTGGTGACCCAGATTAGGTGTGAGGACAGAGGCCGAGCTGAAAGGTAGGAGAGAAGTGAAAACCAGCTGTAGGAAATGCAATTTATTTGCAATTTTTTAATAACATCATTCCTCAGATAAAAATGCAATGTTACAGGAATATACATCAGATATTAATTTAAAACTTGCTTTCAAGGGACCATACAGTCTAAATATACTTTTTCCTTTTTTATTTACTGGTAGCGTGCGTTATAAGCAAGACAGACTCTGTCACCAATGACAGACTGACAAGTTACAGATACAAACTGTACATGACTTATTTACAAATCAACTTTTTGTTTGGTTTTTCATTTCACTTTTTATTGAAAATAGGAGTAGAAAAGTGATTGAATTAATATTCTGATTTGTTTCTTTCCCTTTCTAAAATCTAAAATGAAATGAATGGAAAAATAAATAAATCAAGATCTCTCCTTTCGAAAAAAGAAAGAGAAGAAGAAGAAGAAAAAGGTGTCAACCGTGAGACCGTGCGGTCGTCACGGAGGAGACGTGGTTACTGAGGAAGTCAAATGATGTTGGGCCAGTGTCACTTAGCAACCTCAGAACCAATGAAATCCCTCGCAGCCGAGGGGAAGTGGCTTATGTTAAAAGAACTCAAGTTACAAAATGGCCACCTGCCTCCAAAGCTACTGCAAGTACAATGACACACTCTAGTTCATTTTCTGACCATAAATAGTGCTGTTATTAAATACTACATTTAACAGTAGCCTCACTACTAATTTTACAACAAATAGTGAACGCCTCTC